AACTGTATATTACAACAGATGCCAGACACACCTTTGTAGGGTGGAATTTCCACAGCTTAGAAGCTGCCACAGAGAACGCCTCCTTCCAAAACATCACCACACCACACCCCAAACCTCTGAGGGTGGAGAAATTATCAAGAAGACCCCCTCTGCCCATCTTAGCACCTGAGAAGTTCATGGCATTAAGCTTGTTATGAATGAATGAATGAATGAATGGCAAGTGGGAGTCAACATTTTGTTGTTGTTGTTGTTTAGTCGTTTAGTCGTGTCCGACTCTTCGTGACCCCATGGACCAGAGCACGCCAGGCACACCTGTCTTCCACTGTCTTCCGCAGTTTGGTCAGACTCATGTTTGTAGCTTTGAGAACACTGTCCAACCATCTTGTCCTCTGTCGTCCCCTTCTTCTTGTGCCCTCCATCTTTCCCAACATCAGGGTCTTTTCCAGAGAGTCTTCTCTTCTCATGAGGTGGCCAAAGTACTGGAGCCTCAGCTTCACGATCTGTCCTTCCAGTGAGAATCAATTTCCTTAAGAATGGATACGTTTGATCTTCTTGCAGTCCATGGGACTCTCAAGAGTCTCCTCCAGCACCATAATTCAAAAGCATCAATTCTTCGGCGATCAGCCTTTTTTATGGTCCAGCTCTCACTTCCATACATCACTACTGGGAAAACCATGGCTTTAACTATACGGACCTTTGTTGGCAAGGTGATGTCTCTGCTTTTTATGATGCTGTCTAGGTTTGCCATCGCCTTTCTCCCAAGGAGCAGGCGTCTTTTAATTTCGTGACTGTTGTCACCATCTGCAGTGATTGTGGAGCCCAAGAAAGTAAAATCTCTCGCTGCCTCCATTTCTTCCCCTTCTATTTGCCAGGAGGTGATGGGACCAGTGGCCATGATCTTGGGTTTTTTGATGTTGAGCTTCAGACCATATTTTGCGCTCTCCTCTTTCACCCTCATTAAAAGGTTCTTTAATTCCTTCTCACTTTCTGCCATCAAGGTTGTGTCATCTGCATATCTGAGGCTGTTGATATTTCTTCCGGCGATCTTAATTCCGGCTTGGGATTCATCCAGCCCAGCCTTTCGCATGATGAATTCTGCATATAAGTTAAATAAGCAGGGAGACAATATACAGCCTTGTCGTACTCCATTCCAAATTTTCAACCGATCAGTTGTTCCATATCCAGTTCTAACTGTAGCTTCTTGTCCCACATAGAGATTTCTCAGGAGACAGATGAGGTGATTAGGCACTCCCATTTCTTTGAGAACTTGCCATAATTTGCTGTGGTCGACACAGTCAAAGGCTTTTGCATAGTCAATGAAGCAGAAGTAGATGTCTTTCTGGAACTCTCTAGCTTTCTCCATAATCCAGCGCATGTTTGCAATTTGGTCTCTGGTTCCTCTGCCCCTTCGAAATCCAGCTTGCACTTCTGGGAGTTCTCGGTCCACATACTGCTTAAGCCTGCCTTGTAGAATTTTAAGCATCACCTTGCTGGCATGTGAAATGAGTGCAATCGTGCGGTAGTTGGAGCATTCTTTGGCACTGCCCTTCTTGGGGATTGGGATGTAGACTGATCTTCTCCAATCCTCTGGCCACTGCTGAGTTTTCCAAACTTGCTGGCATATTGAGTGTAGCACCTGAACAGCATCATCTTTTAAAATTTTAAATAGTTCAGCTGGAATACCATCACTTCCACTGGCCTTGTTATTTGCAGTGCTTTCTAAGGGCCATTTGACTTCACTCTCCAGGATGTCTGGCTCAAGGTCAGCAACCACACTACCTGGGGTATACGAGACATCCATTTCTTGGAGTCAACATTACATAATAATTATTTGCACCATGAAGAAACTGCAGTTATGATCTTTAAGAAACCATATTTAATTACAAGTGCCACCAGAACTTTATATTTTCCTTCTACCACCAAATTTGACAAGAATCTGGGGAATTTATTTAGAAATCTACCTCTGCCTCCATCCATGCCAAGAATCTGCACGTTTCAATTGATTTTCTGTCAGGAAGGTTTTATTCTTTCAGTACAAAGCACCATACTTCTTTTAGACACTTGAAAACATAAATAGGAGGAGAAGGGTGGGTTTTTTTCTCACAGCAAATTCTTTGGACTTTAAGAATCCTCGAACACACCTGTGGGTTATGGAGCAGAAAGATACAGCCAGAAGATCTTAAATTCTTCAGGCTTCCCCACCCCCCTTCAGATAAAACCACAAATCTGTCTTTGGCACCAGAGGTGCTCTTTTTAAATATCCAAGTGAAAAGCTTATACATTCAAAATGAACCCCCACCCCCTGCACTGGATATGGATCAAGGTGGTTCCAGTTGTTCTGCACTTTTTCTCTCCAAAACGAAATAGAAAAACGTTTGAGATTTCAGCATTCATTTGAAGCCAAGATCTCTACCTTTTTAAAGCAAGGGTTGCCTTTCACATGCATCTGAGTCCCAGAAGAATCATACAGGGATAAAGAAAGCAGCTATTCGTTGATCCTAAGAACACACAACAAAGCAGCCATTGAAATCTATGGGGACCATCTTTCACACACATATATAGTGGTAGGCTGTCAGAGAGCCCAAGTGTGCAGCACATTAGCTTCAAACCTCTCTGCTTTACCAAACCTCTGATCTGAAGCAATGGTAAGATAACAAGGTGGTACCTCACTTCTTTCTCATTGTTTCTGTGCAGGTGGGTCATCCAATTAAACTCCAGAACATGGAAATGGCTTAGACTAGACCTGCTCAATGCTGCAATCCTCTTGGCATAGGGACTTATTTTCTTCGCTTATACTCTAAAGCACCACTGGTGGCACATTAAATAATGACAATGTAATACGTTGCGACGTCAAGATGCTCTGATTTGTATAGTTTCTGATTTAACAAAGGGTTTGTCAGTTTAAAAATAAGTACCTATATACCAGAAGAAAAGGGAGATATGCATAAACTCTAGTTTACATGCTTTTCTCAGAAGTAGAACTCCCAGTTAAGGGCAAACAAGCAACCCTCCCTGTTGAATTTCCAGAGCCGACTAGAGACTTTTTTTTATTCCAGCAGGCATTTTAACTTCTGGTTTTTAATTGTTTTAACCAATCTTTTACCTTTTCTGATCGTAGTTAAGCAGTCTACATATTTACATAAGTTTACATATATTTACATAAGTAATTCAAAAATGCGACGCGGGTGGCGCTGTGGGTAAAAGCCTCAGCGCCTAGGGCTTGCTGATCGAAAGGTCGGTGGTTCGAATCCCCGCGGCGGGGTGCGCTCCTGTTGCTCAGTCCCAGCGCCTGCCAACCTAGCAGTTCAAAAGCACCCCCGGGTGCAAGTAGATAAATAGGGACTGCTTACTAGCGGGAAGGTAAACGGCGTTTCCGTGTGCTGCGCTGGCTCGCCAGATGCAGCTTGTCACGCTGGCCATGTGACCCGGAAGTGTCTCCGGACAGCGCTGGCCCCCGGCCTCTTGAGTGAGATGGGCGCACAACCCTAGAGTCTGTCAAGACTGGCCCGTACGGGCAGGGGTACCTTTACCTTTTTTAAATTCAAAAATGGCCTTAATTTCATGGGATTACTTCTTGGAAAGCATGCAAGGACTGCAGTCTTGCAGCATACTCCTATGCTTACTCAGAAGGAATCCCCACTGAGTTCAATTGAACTTTCTCCCAGATGTATTAGGGATGGGGAACCTGTGGTATACCAGAGGTTGATGGACCAGCCCGAGCCAGCAGGAATTGCAACCTCAGTCTCAACACGTCATTACTGGAAACTGTGATATTGTATTTGTTTGACCCACACCCCAATGAAGTTGAAGTACTTGGTTAGAAGCCAGTTCTAGCTTTATCAGTGTCAATAAACTAAGTGACTGAATGGCAGTCTCATTAAAGCAGCGTTTTGATACTCATCAGCTTCAAAGCAAATGATCATAACAGGGGTGTGCACCTGTGTCCATGCAGGAATGTCTCCACTCTCTTCGATGAACAAAGGAATGCTCTGGGCACCCAGTGGAGAATTATCATTGATCACAGAACATTGTATTTCATAGAAGAAAATAATTACCTGCTATGAGAGGGAGTCCTTTCATCTGGGCCTAGCAAGTGTACTTTAACTTCAAAGACAAAGAGTTTGGTTTAGGAATGCTCAAGGATTTCATTCAGACCACACTTTTAAATGAACTGGTCTGATTTATACATCCCAAAATAACACGCTGATTGAAACACAGTTATCCTTTGGTTTTCACACCTCTTTTTACAATACAGTTCAGCTACAAAAAAGTGTCAAAACAGTAGTGGTATATATGGTGGTACAGGACTGCAGAACAGTCTGCCCACACTTTTACTGCTGCTGCTCACCCGAATGAGGCTGGGTGGGGAGCAGCAGGAAGACCAGACCTCACGGTTGCCTCTGGATTGATGGTAGTGCTCCTGGCACTACCATTAACAACAAGTTAACACCACCCATCCCCATCCAGGTAAAGCAAAACTGCTGTCAGAAGGGCAGCTCCATGGTCCCACCAAATGGAAGGTAATGCAATGTTGATCTACACATTAGTCTGATTCATATATGTATGAATCAACCAGTTCATTTGCCTTGTTCCTCCATGTGCCCATTGCACCAAGGGAGAAACAAGCTCCATTGGCCATGGCGCCTTGCTGGGATCCAAGATGGCGGCAGCAGCAGCAGGAAGGTGAGAGTAAGGTTTACTTGTGGGGTGACAGCTATGCAGGCGGGCAGGCAGCGCAGCGTGGAGCCGCATGGCTCTGCTGGGAGGTCACTCCAGTGGTATTGGTGGCTTGCCTGCCCCGGGCACCAATAACTCACGCTATGCCACTGCATACTTTCTATCCAAAGGTAACTCTTACATTCACAGAAATCCCTCGGTCCAGACATGCCTAGGAATGAAGGATGTGATTCCCACCGTTTCCTTCTGCCCTGCCATACCACCTCCCGTGTATAGTAGTTCTAGAAATGCCTACAACTCGCTCTTGTACACATTTTCAGGGTGGGTTTTTTTTTATTTTATACAGGTACATTATTAAAACATTTTTTACTATCTCTTACCAGCACAACCTATGTGCATTACTATTCAAAGGACTGTGTTCCTTGCTATTTGTTGTGCCATGTATATTCAAGTGCAGAGCACAGGTCTCATTTTCACATTTCCCTCTCTGCAGAAGCAAAATGAAGCATATTCACACGGAAATGTGCCTGTGATGGTTCAGGATTAGTCTTTGAAACATAACTGGTACATGCAACATTCCTAAACCTCTTGCTGATATTGTTGATACACTGCTTTCAGGATTTTCTGTACATGTATAATGCAAAGGGATCAAGAGCTTTGGGGGTAGAGTGTAAAGCAGCTCCTCACAGATTCCTTTCTGCTCAAATCTGTACTGCTGTAAATTCCACTAATCCATTTCAAAATGCATCAGGCTATGAAGAGCTCCAAGGAATTGCAGGTTCTGGTTAGCAAGTAATGTGGCAAAATGAGCGGCTGCTGCAAGTATCAGACAATGAGGTAAATTGTGGGGTAAAAAACATGCTGATGTTCATTTCCACGTAAGAGTTCTTCTCCTCACCTGTAATGGCATGGGAGGAATATATTTTTGAGTTTCTTATTGCAGAAATATGGAAATATAGAAAATATGAAGAATATATGCACATTTTTGTCTAACTGGAATTTTGGGGCAAAGTTTAAAGTTGTTGTTAGGGAATGTGAAACATCTGAGAAATTAGGAGGGAAGAAAAAAGATAAAATAGAGTTTCAGTAGGGTAAAAAAGTAAAGTTTACCTTAGTGATGAAATACATATTTATACAATATGTGTGCTATTCCAACAAATGAGTAAAAAAAGCTGAAGCTGACAAATGCACATTTAGTATTTGCATTTCCTCCTCCATTAAACAAAGAAACAGCAGCAGGACAACAAAATGCTGCGAGATAGCAGTAATCTCACAATACAAGTTGTTTTATAATCAATATGTGTGATTTAAACATCCAGAATCATTAGCATTTCTTATATAAACAGGCAGCGGGGAAACTCCATAATATTTTGACAATACAGAACTTGATAGTAGTATCAAGCTGGGTTGATAACATCAGGGTGTGAAACAATATTATTCCATTTCTTCTTTTTAACTTTCTTAGAAAATTAACTCCAGATCATTAGATACAGGAGTTCATCACCCATTAATTATCCTTTGCTCACCTGTTACATTCTGACCCAAGGGATTTTAAGAACATCAGAAAAGCCCTGTTGGATCAGGCCTAAGGTAATGGGCAGTATTCAAGAAAACAGTTTCATGCATACTAGTATTACTACTAGCACAACAGGACTTCTCCCCTCTCCCCTCATGCCACCCCCAAATCTGCTCTGGAGGGTTGAGGGAACCCACAAAATAGATTCAGTGGGTGCACAGAAGTAGGGGAGGGGGAAAATAATCTATAGAGCAAGGAGAAATCCTTGTGCTAATGGAACAATCTGTTTAGTGCTACAATCCAATGAGTCCAGCATCCTACTTCCTACAGTGACCAACCAAATGCCTATGGGAAGTCCATAAGGAGGTCATGAATACAATAGCCCCTTTCTGGTGTTATTCTCTGCTGACTGGTATCTGAAGACATGCCGTATAAAACCACTGGGGCCTTGTCCTCCATGAGTTTCTGTTATCCCCTTTTAAAGGTGGATAAACTTGATAACCATTGCTAAATCTAGTTGCCGTGAATTCCAAAGTTTAACTGGGCACTATGTAAACAATGCTGCACTCAGTGGGGCAGAGCCAGAGAGCCAACCTTCTGACACCTGCATCACAATGTCAGGATCACTTAATTCCAGAGTTCTTAAGCATAGAGCGTGTATGTGCACATGCATGCTTCTGGATTTCTAGAAAGCAGCACTGGTCATAATGGTTTTTAGCACTCTGCAGCACCCCAGATACTATCACTTGGTTGCTTTAGTGCAAAATCGCCAGACTCCGTTTATGAACTCACCATGCCCATTATCAAAACTGTGGTGAGTGAATTTTAGTTTCTGCAGTAAGACTCTCTATATACTTCTTTAATAAAAATGAACTCAAGGTACTTTCTCCCCTTCTACATACATCTATTTATTTATCCTTCTGTAGAAAACTGAGATTCTCCCACAGAAACAAAGGATTTCTGCTGAATCAGACCAAAGGTCTACATATAGTCTAACATCCTGTTCCTGCAGTGGCCAACAAGACGCCTATGCGAAGTCCACCAGCCAGACCAGAGCTCAGTTTTCTGATTCTGAATTTAATTATTTTTTATTGGATAAAAGCAAATGCTATATTTAATGTAAGGCTACAAATTATTAATAACTATGATCCACTTAAGGTTGAAAAGGGAATTCATAATATTTCCAAAATACATCATTCCAACCATATTTCTCTTGACAAAGTCTAACAGCAGCCAATCCTCATTTTGAAACATGTTGTCAACATATAACAGAAGGCAATTCCAAATGTAATGAAATCAGGTTAAATGGGAGGTTGCAATGCCAGTTTTACAGATTAAATTGGTCAGCACAGGCAAACGGGGATGATGTGGCCTGCCCTGGGGAAATCTGATGAGGTTTACGGTGTTAAGAGAAGGCACAATGCATGTGAGGTAATCTCGATGTGACTCATCTTGAATGGTATTACAGTAAATGGAGAAGCCTGTACTGGCCTTATCTAAAGACCAGGTCTGATTCTGCTCAAGGAATCACAAGGGAATGGAAAACCGCAAGGGAATGCAACTAAAGGAAATTCTGTCATTTGGAGGGAATCATGTCAGGTTTGAGCTAGGCATGATACACAGTAGCATCTAACTTTCTGTCAATGTTTTCTTTTAACAGGGGTGTCAACCTCTTTTTAAACTAAAGGCAGGGGCAGCCAATGAACTGGCTAGCTAGGCAAAACTGCTGGCCACCACCATGTGGAGGAATCATTAGGTGTGATTCCCACCCACATCTTGACACATGAGGAACTGGTGGTGGAGGCAGTGTGTTAAGATCACTGTTGCTGACTGGAGAGTCAACACTCTGGTCTGTATCTACACCAGTGAATAAAATGACAAGAGTATCCACATCCTCTGCCCAGAGGGCGCTGTTGAGCAGAAACATTGTCCAAGGGAGGGGAAGTGATATCATTCCTCTGCTCAAACTCACAGGCTTTTGGAAGCTGTTTCGTGATTTGTTTGTTTGTTTTAAACATATAAGGGAAAGTACAGACAACTGTGTGTCATACCTAGTTTAGCCCTCGAAGACTGAATTGGCTCGGCTGGAAAAGCTCAAGCCTTTCCCATAAAATGTTTGCTTTCCGCAGAAATGGTTATACCAGAGCATTCTGTACCGTGACAAAAAGCAGATAATTTTATGGAGAAACTTTCCAAACTGTTTAAAGTTTGCGAAGCCCAGGTTTATAAGGTTAACCCCAGGGTTTACACAAAGCACAAACTGTTAAGTTTATTCATGTCTTCCTTTTTAAAAGACTCGGCGTAAAAGCCTTGCAGTTTATTTCACAGGCAGGGATAGCATCTTCCCAACCTTTAACCCAAAGCGTGTGCTGCAAAGGAAGGAGCCAGTTTTGCCACATAAAACTATTTTTTGAGCATGTGGAAATGTAGGCAGAATCAAACCTAGTGGCTTTGTCATTTTAACTTTGCACTCAGAAGCAAACATGGCCAAGCTTCTGGGCTTAAAACAAAATGAAACCTCTCCTCCTTATTCAATTTAACATGCTTCTGACATGAACATTTCATAGATATTAAAATATACATTGACTCTTGGGCTTAGCAATGCACGTAAAGAAATGGTTTGCATTTTTGGAGAAGATCAGTGGGGGGTTTTATTCATTTCTTTGAAAAGTTACCAGAAACTGTGGAGACCCCATGGAGAGAAGAAAGACCAATGATGGCAGACAATAAAAGCAAAAGAAATACTGCCATTCTAAACATCCCCTTGCCATGCAGCCTTAATATGATAGGAAAAAGCAACACAACTGCATAGATTTTGTATTGCTTGCTATGGTGTAACTAAGCCGATATAGGTTATAATTATTAATATACAACATTACTGTTAGCATTCCCCTTATCCAAACTCAAGACATTCTAAGCCTTCTCATAATCAAGATGATGCACACATGTTCACTAGAAGATGGCAAAGTGTGGCAGCATGTTAAAAAGTGTTCAGCAGGTGGCAGCAGTCAGTACTGGAGTTTCAGCTGCAAAGAGCTTATATGCCCTCAGTTTTGCTTGCCAAAGTGAAATTGTCTCATTGATGCACAAAATCCCAGAGGAAAGCAGTTTGTCTAAACACCCAAACCTAAGGCTCTGTGTCATCTTCTGGTGTATTCTGCAGATACTAGTGTGATCTCCCAACTGATCAGCAATCTCCAGTGGGTTTGATACACTCTAAAATATTTCTAAATCATCAGAGCAGGTTGTGGAATAAGTAGCAACGTACATGTCACTGGGTTAAACTAGGGCCACAATTTTATTACAGAGAACTGCAACAAAGGTGAAACTGAAGCAACTGAAACTGAAACTCTTGAACTTGAGAGAGAGAGTCCTCCTACCTTCACTAGTTATAGGTGAGCTCTACCTGAGGAGCATTCCTTTGTCTGCTTCTGAATCTTTACAGCCACACCTTTACATATGGTGAAGAAGGTTTGCTTGTATCACACTACAGGGAGATGGGTTAAATACTCCCTCCCCACATGCAATGATTCCCGCCCCCCCCCCAACAGGACCACTATTTAAAAATAGATACAGTGGTACCTCGGGTTACAGACGCTTCAGGTTTCAGACTCCACTAACCCAGAAATAGTACCTCAGGTTAAGAACTTTACCTCAGGATGAGAACAGAAATTGCACGGCGGTGACGCGGTGGCAGCAAGAGGCCCCATTAGATAAAGTGGTACCTCAGGTTAAGAACAGTTTCAGGTTAAGAAAGGACCTCCGGAACGAATTAAGTTCTTAACCCGAGGTACCACTGTACACAAATTTTACTCATACATTTCATGCCTCACCTAATTTGGCCCTGAGACTAGGGAATGTTGTTATTCCATGGTGCATGTATGTAACACAACTTTGCATGGTGTTTTCTTCTGCATTATTATTTCTGGTAGTATTAAATCTAAAAGAGAAAGAGAGATGCAGAAAGCACTACCATAAAATGAACTTTGGGCAAAATAACTGCCCATTGTATTAAATCTTTGGGGGTGGGGTAAAGGAATCCAAAATGTCACATAGATTTAAATAATGAATAGAACAATAGCAAAAGAATAGAGGAAAATGAGTAGCATAGAATATGATAACATGTTAGGAGTCTCTGATCCTCGTTGCTGGTAATGAGTTTTACTATTATTATCAAATATTTGCTGAATAAGTATTATTATCAACAAAAATACAGCCTGTGAGGATGTGGTGTCCCTCTTCCAGTTCTGGAGAAAGAGCATGTTTATCATAGGAATAAACAAAAGACATTTTTGCTGCAATATCCCATTGACTTGGCCTAAAATTAGAGCAATGGTTTTCAGACTTTTTTCTTGGGAGAGCCTGGGGTTTTTAGAAGTGTATCAGGAATTTCTCCATAAGATGATCTGTACTGGTGGACCAGTGTCCTTGAAGGATAGCTTGCCCAATGGTGGGGTGATGGTGCTCACCTGACCTCCTAATATCTGAGTCCTTGCTGTTTACCAGCAGGTAGAGGAGGGGATTGACTCTGCCAATATGTTTGCACTGATCCAACCTACCTGCTCCTCATACCCTGCCCCCTCCTTCCCCCAAAGCAGCAGTGACTCAGCTGTCAAGAGGTTGGGTGAGCACCACCACTCCACCCTGCCATCCACTATTGTTCTTAAGCACTACAAGTGCCAAGACAGTCATGGAAGGATGATGTTCCATATATCAGTTCTAGCCAAGGTGGGGGTATCTTTTCTTCCTGGGGATCCTGGGACTTGTAGCTCAGTCCCAATTCCCTCACCACTGATGGTGCTCACTTCTCCCTCAATGCAATTTTCATTTTCATTTCATATTTTTTTTTTTTTTTTTTTTGCCTTAGCAAAAGGAAAGGAAACCAGAGCCAGAGACCACTGTCACTCAGGCATTTAAATATTCTCAGGGGGAGCAGAAGGATCAAGGAACATCCTGGAGCCCCAATGCTTGCCCAGTGTTCTGCTTAGATGACTTACTGTGTGTGCAGAAACCTGCCCTCCAGATTCTTGAAAGTTCTTTAAACCCATGAAGGAGGCTTCCATTTACTTCCTTATTTACAGACCGCCTTTGAATGTCTGTAGAATTTCAGCCAGCATGATTTCAAGCTTACCTCAAGTATCTATTAACAATATTATCTAGTTTTCTGCATCTTCCCCAGGTGCCCATGCTTTCACTTAAATTACGACATCTTTCCCTGGTGTTTAATTAAAGCATGGGAATCTAGGTGAGCCAGCTCCTGAGCACCTGAGATTAGTGTGCTCACTGATCATGTCTGTAAGGGAAGTTCTTCCTTTCACCTTTGAAGAAAATCCGCACACCAATTTCTTTCAAAGTAAAAAAGATACCACTTAAAATAATTAACAATGAACAGCTGTCAGTTGGACATTAGGCACCTTTTCCACTTTCCCATGTTTGCAGAAAAGCCCAGGAAATGATGTTTTGGGTTTTCCAGGAAGTGCTGATGCTGGGGAAGGCTGCAGAATGAGGACCACTGGAATGAGTGAGTATTTGCAGAATGAGGGAAAACACACAGCTTGGCCACCTTGAAAGTGAGGCAACAAAACCCCTGCACCCTACTGATAAGAATTTCAGCAAAAATTTCCCAATCTGATCTCTACTGGAGACCAGAGCTATGTGTACGCACATAGGCTTGTTACGCACATGCTAGGAGTATCCTGCTGCCTCCTTGTGGCCGTTGCCAGTGCTGAAGTACGTCTTGAGTGCCTGTTCAATCAGCTTCTGCTCATGGAACAGGGAAAGGGAGTTGTCAATTCACCCTTGGCTTTAGGCAGAAAAATGTATTGGGCCTTATCATTTATCCATGATTGGGTTTCACCATGTCATCCTAAAATGCTGCAAAATCTAGATTTCTTACCTTTCTAAGGTATTACTTTCATCCACTTGGGAACTTTTTTCATGAATACTTTAGGAACTCTACTGGCAATTGCTGGTGAGATTATTTAAGAAATGCATTTATGGAAACTCATACATAGAAAATGTCAGACATTTTTATCAGGTTGGTATGTGTTT